CTTATTGACGGAAAAATACGGAAAAATAATTAGACATTTTATGCACTTATTCTTAACATTTTCCCCCTGAACTTTACTGCTTTCTGATCTGTCTGACACAGGCAAACTTCAGAATATGCATTGCTTACCTGACTATAGTGTTACTGGTTTCACCAACATTAACTTTTGTCTGCCTTTTTTCCTAAACAGGCAAAAATAAAGAAAGGATACATTCTTCATAATTCAACACTTGTAACTCCATTTTAAAGGAATTCAAGCATTCGTATCACTACCCATAATTAATCAAGGTTTTGCTTAATGAAATACAGATATATACAGTCATGAGAAAAGAACCATATCTGTAAAGCTGATTAACTAGTCCTTTATATATAAACTGTTGTGCCTACTTTCAGTAACAGATTCCTTTGGCAGTCTGGCCCCACAACCTCTTTGCCGTCAAGTCAGTAGAGTGCTTGCATTTTAGGAAATGTGCAAACAATGGTTCCCCAGCCTATTGTTTTGGATATTGCACTTAGGCTTCTCCATGCATTTTAAAATATCTATTGCAGTATATCTATTCTATATTGCCGTTTATACAGGTGTTAAAAGGTGGAGATAATGTTGGCACTACTACATGTTGTAAAATCTAAGAATATTATCTTATTGTCTGTAGGGTTGTACCTGATACCTACAAGGAAAAAATCTCTGTAGGAGACATATCCATGCCAATCCCCTGACTGTGATTTTAAATGTGTTCTGTTTTGTCCCAACAACTCCTTAATATTCTTTTAGTGGATTAGTGGAGCATTTCTGGTAATAAATAAAGCAATCTTCTTTACCATCATTTTGAGGTTCACCACTTAAAAAACAACAACAACTGAACCTTGATGCTGCAGACTTTTGTTTTTCTTCCTTGTGTGGAAAACATTTCAAGAAACCTTTCTGGTATTGTTACTAATTCTAACTATTATTGATATGAGAAAGAAGCTCATTATTATGGAGGTAAATCAGAGGCTTCTATTGACCTGTACTGCTGTACTCCAAAATGTGTTTCTATGTTAGTGAAGCCACATTGATAAAGAATTATTCCCATAATTTCACTAAAATAATTCCATAACAATAAAGGCTATCAAATTAGCATAAACATAAGAAAATAAGGGATGGCTTTATTTTGTTTTTAATTTGTAATCAGAACAAAGCAGAAAACAGGATTTGAAGAAAGCATAAACTTCCATGAAAGAGAATCCTAAAATACATTTACTCAAATGCCACTAAGTCTGAGGTGTGATCAGGATTGTTGCTTAGTAACAAAATTAACATGTTAGACAAGAACTAAAATAAATGTGGCAAGATAACCAATATTAAATGCAATAATAATGCGGTTATATCTTTCAGGAGAACCAGTCCTGTCAATGACAATAATAACAATACTAAAAAAAATGCACCCTTTTCAAATATTTCCTACTTGAGTATATTGCTGTCAAATCATAATAGAAATCAGATTAATCTGTTTTATATGACACAATCAGCAATGTTGACTTTAAAGATCCAGCACACCGTGATGAAATTAACCGAGAAGAGTAGAACAGACAATCAACAGTATTAACGCAAGAGGCATCCGTAGGCATACAACAGCATATGTACAATCACAAGGTTCTCGTCCTGTGTAAAGAATTAGGTGTGGCTGCTGCTGTAGAGCACGTGCCTACAATCCCTCCTGTTGTATATTCTACCCCCTCCCTCTGATTATTTGGCAAAAGAGTCTTTAAGACCTGAAACTTTGTCACAGAATATAATGAATACAAAGGGCCACTCCCAGGTTTTGATTACAATTTATTATAATTTCTTGTAATAATTATTACATTGTGGAGTCCTTGGTGCTCTCTGAGCTTGGTGGTTTTCTTGCAGACGATTCATTACCCAACTAGGTAACATCATCAGTGTGAGCAAGTGTGGGGCTTGCTCCCTGTTTATATACAGTAGCTTGCCCTGCCAGTGTTGGTGGGGCTG